GTCTGGGAGCCGTTGAGGAAAAGGCACAGTCACCATGGGTGTTGAAGCCAGTACGGGGGACCAACAGAGGATTCTGGTCTTGTGAGTGCAAGTTGCATTTGGGGTTATAAGGCGAGAGAAGACCGGATTTGGTGCTTGGCCGTGTAGAGCTCTAAAAGTGAGAACCAGGGTTTTGAACTTGAGTCTGAATTGTACAGGTAGCCAGTGGAGGTCTGATGATACAGGGGTGATGTGAGAGAATTTGGATGTTCTAGTTAGGAGTCTAGCAGCAGAGTTTTGAACAAGTTGGAGCTGGTTTAATTGTTTCTGATTTAAGCAGGTGAACAGACTGTTACAGTGGTCAAGACGGGTTGAGATAAAGGCATGGATCACCATTTCCAGGTCAGAGGCAGGCAGGAGGGGGCGAAGTTTAGAAATGTTACAGAGTTGAAAATAGCATGAGTTAACTAGATTTTTGACGTGTTTATTTAGTGACAGGTCTGAATCAAAATTGACTCCCAGATTTTGTACGCTCTTTTTAACAGTCGGACTCAGAGAGCCCAGTTGTTCTTTTGTCTGAGGGATCTTATTTTCAAGTGCCAGGATCAGAGTTTCTGTCTTGTCACAGTTAAGGAGTAGCAGATTGTCAGAGAGCTGTTTGTTGACTTCTGTGATACAGTCTAAGAGAGTTCAGCTTGTGGGGACTTGACTCATTAAAAGAGCAGTATAACTGCAGGTCATCAGCGTAGAAGTGATAGGAGACATCATGAAAATTGTCAATGATCTGGCTTAGTGGGCGGATGTAGAGAAGGAAAAGGAGGGGCCCTAGGATTGAACCCTGTGGAACGCCACAAGTGAGTGAATAAACATTGCAAAAAACAATGCAAAACAAGAGCAATAAACATTGCTCCTATGTATCTAAAAAAAAACATGCTTTTTATAATTTTAATACAAGATATTTACTCACTTGTTTTCAGCGATGTATTTTTTATTTCAATTAAATATTTTAAAATCTCTTGGCTTGGATGCTTATAGGTCACATAAACACACTAGAGATGATAGTTTTTTTTTCTGACAGCTCCCATGTTATTTATCCTTCTGTAACAGTGTAGATGCAGCCAGCTTCACTTATCCCCACAGGACTGTGCTTAAATGAAAATGCTGCTCAGTTCAAGCAGCATGTAGAAATGACAGGCTGTCTGTGGTTTGGCAGAGTAAGCTTTTTTATTGCTCTCTTTTACTGCAACATTTAAAACCATCTTAACAGAGTTGCCTCACAAAAGCCTTTCCCCAATTACTCTACTGTCACAGTTGTTTTAAAGAGTGTTGCCAAACGTTCATAAGACTTTATAGTAGAAAGAAAAGGACTATAAAGTCACAAGAAAATGAAGGAAATTAAATCCTACTAAGTTTTTGGAGCAGCACATTGCTGCTTTAATACATGAAGTAACTGGACTTTGCAATGACACAACTAGGCCTGTCGCGATGAGCAGTAACTCAGTTAATCGCACAATAAACTTAAATGAGGTTGATGATTTTCATTTGCCTGCTTGTTTGTTTTCTTCATTTCCCCACTTTTTACCTCGTTTTTTCCTCCACTTACTGTGAAGAGCGTTGTATTTTCTGCTGCCTTTGAGCTGGCGTCACCTCAGGATGCCCTCAGGGCGCTGTGTCAAACCTTGGGTTCACCAAGAGTGTTTTTTTTACACTACATATTTTGTAAACTTGTAAAGTGTGTGGATGACCACATTTATTTTAT